CCGCTCACGCAGAAAGTTCAAGGGAGGTGGGGACAGGACTGAACGCCGCTCACACAGAAGGTTCACGGGAGGAGGGGACACGACTGAACGCCACTCACGCAGAAGGTTCACGGGAGGTGGGGACAGGACTGAACGCCGCTGACACAGAAGGTTCACGGGAGGAGGGGACAGGACTGAACGCCGCTCACGCAGAACGTTCATGGGAGGAGGGGACAGGACTGAACGCCGCTCACACAGAAGGTTCACGGGAGGAGGGGACAGGACTGAACGCCGCTCACACAGAAGGTTCATGTGAGGTGGGGACAGGACTGAACGCCGCTCACACAGAACGTTCACGGGAGGTGGGGACAGGACTGAACGCCGCTCACACAGAAGGTTCACGGGAGGAGGGGACAGGACTGAACGCCGCTCATACAGAAGGTTCATGGGAGGTGGGGACAGGACTGAACGCCGCTCACACAGAAGGTTCACGGGAGGTGGGTAGGACTGAATAGCGCTGAACATTCATGGGGGTGTGGCAGGACTGAACACCACTGAATGTTGACAGGAGGATTTGTGGTCATGCACATTGTATCTACAGCAGGCAGAGGACCTCAAACCGCTTGTTAGTGGGTATGGTTGCCTCAGGGACCTGTAGCAACCGTTTCCGTGTCAACACACCAAGTGACAACTGTTGCCCATAAAAGGCAGATCCACCCTGTGCTGTGGCCCACAGCAGCTCTGTTGTTTGAAATCAATTTTGCATTAATCTCAGACCCAATTTATTTCTCCAGGTGAGGTTGGGCACTGAGGCACCGTCCCTAATCCCAGCAGGCTCCTATAGGTAATAGAGGGGGGGGAAGTTTCAGACAGAAGATACCATCTCTGTCCCTGTTCCTGGGTGAGTTCACACCGAACAAGTCTGCCGATAGCAGGGAGGCCATGAGTAAAAGAACCATAAATTAACCATTTCAAATTTGGGGGGGGTGGGGGGGGGTGGTCCAAATCTAAGGTATAACCCAAAATACACATCAACTAATCAACTAAAATGATATTGTACTATGAGGGTAGAAGACCCATTAAGCAGCCCTCTTCCCCCCTGTTGCACACGGACACAGTCACT